CTCGTCTGGCCTTCAGGCATACACACAGAAAGAATATTGCATGCATAAATAAGTAAATATTAAAAAAAAATTAAAAAAAAAATAGTGAATTCAAGGCCATCTAGGGCCTAAAGAGGTCCTGTCTCTCCAGGTAAGGTGGCACACGCCTTTGAACCCAGCACTAGGAAGGCTGAGGCAGGGGGATGATCTCTGAGTTTGCCTGGCGTGCAAGAGCCAGTTCCAGGACAGGCTCCAAAGCTACAGAGAAACCCTGTCTCGAAAAACCAAAAAGAAAAAGAAAAAACAAAAAAAGAAATCCTGTCTCAAAAAAAAAAAAAATCCCAAAACCAAAACAAAAGAAGGATGATTTAGGACCTGAGAAAGACAATGTGAGATTTCACTGCTACTCAGAACAAGGTACAATATCAAATTAGAGTTATCTCTAGAATTTTCCAGCCTTGGACCATAGCTTGTCACAGGTAACTGAAAGTACATCCAGCAAAATCAGGGATTAAGGGAGAGACTAATGTACTTAGTCACTGGGGATGATCCCAGTGCCCTGGTGTAGGGCAACCTTGACAATTTAAGAGGTACGGAGAATACAAGGCCTGCCACTACACATAACAGTATGTGTAATCCCAGTACACAGAACGCAGGGAGACTTCCAGGCCAAGGACAGACTGGGTACATAGTTAAGGCACTATCTGAAAAAAGAGGCAGAAAGGGGCAAGAGGAGGCTGTGGGCATGCATTCATATTGTTGCTGGGGGAAAATGGGAGTTAGGTAGGGCACAGCTTGAGGATTGGCTGATTTGAGGAAAGTCTGGAGGCTTTGAGGCGGTCTCTAGCTGTCTGGTACGTGGTTCTCACACAATTAGTACAGGAGGCCTGATAAAGGAGGTGGTTGGGGCTGTGGAATTAATCAGTGGCAACAAGAAGAACTGAGTGGCATCTAGCCAGGCCAAAAAAACTGGGTCAAGGCGGCCGTCAGCCAGAGACCAACTCTATTATCAGAAGCAGTATTCTGAAGAAATTTATGGAAATGGAGAACAATTGTGGTAGTTCTCTGATCCTAAAATTTTACTTACCATTAGTATGTGTGATGTGTCTGTTGAGTGTGTGTGCAGGTATGCATGCACCATGGATCTATGTGGGGAGAGAAGCCAATTTTCAGGAGGTGCTTCTCTCCTCCCAGCCTTTCGAGATGGTGGATACTTTTTGACAAGGAACATATTCCAGGCCTCTGAGCTTCCAAGCAATTCTGTCTTTTCTTTCTATATTGATACAGGATGCAAATTTGAATCTCTGAATCACCCAACCCGGCTTTTTGAAAATGTGGATTCTTGGGTTAGAACTCCTGGCATCAGAGCTGTGTAGCCAGTACTTTCCCCCCCTGAACCATGTGGATAACGCAGACCTACAACTGTATCTCCCCCACTAGCGGCATTGCTGTAGTTTTGTAATTTAATTTTATTTTTTTGTTTTTCGAGACAGGGTTTCTCTGTAGCTTTGGAGCCTGTCCTGGAACTCACTCTTGTAGACCAGGCTTGCCTCGAACTCACAGAGCACCACCTGCCTCAGCCTCCCAAGTGCAGGGATTAGAGGCATGCGCCATAACTACCTTGCTCTTTTCTCTTCTTTTGAGACAGTAGCCCAGACTGGCCTGGAATTCTGTGGTCCAGGCCTTGTACTCTCAACAGTACTACAAAAGGCTGGATTATGGGCATGCAAGCTTTAATTTTGTCTTTCTTGCTGTGGATTTTGCTCAAGGCCCTGTGCCTCCTGAGCGTCGAATCATGATGACTACTTGTAAAATCTGACCAGCTTGGGTGGCTGAGTGAGCTGAAGGTCACCCACAATAACTGGGACTTTGTTCTTAAGGTGGGTGGGCACTTTTAACCACCAAGTCATTTCTCCATCATCCTGCCCACCCACAACAGTTTGGGCTTTCTTTTTTATTTATTTATTTATTTTTTGGTTTTTTGAGACAGGGTTTCTCTGTGGTTTTGGAGCCTGTCCTGGAACTAGCTCTTGTAGACCAGGCTGGTCTCGAACTCACAGAGATCTGCCTGCCTCTGCCTCCTGAGTGCTGGGATTAAAGTCGTGCACCACCATAGCCCGGCTTAGTTTGGGCTTTTTTTTTTTTTTTTTTTTTGGTTTTTCAAGACAGGGTTTCTCTGTAGCTTTGGAAGCTTTGGAGCCTGTCCTGGATCTCCCTTTGTAGACCAGGCTGGCCTCGAACTCACAGAGATCCTCCTGCCTCTGCCTCCCAAGTGCTGGGATTAAAGGCGTGTGCCACCACCGCCCGGCAGTTTGGGCTTTCTTATTGCTCATCTGCCATCAGAACTCCTGATTCCTAGGAAAAATGTGAAGCTTGGCTTGGATAGAGCCATCTTGTAGTATTGCTGGATTCAATGGCTTGCTTCCCTTTCCTTCTCAAATGGGCGAGGGAGATGGAGAAAGGGCGCTATCGGGTAGAAGCTGTGTTTCACAATAGGATGGAGAATATAGTGATTAAAAACACAAGACTTCTACCTCCATTCTAAAACTAGCCCAGCACACAGCATAGATTCTCCTCCTCAAAACAGAGACTGAACTAGAGGTGATAGGTGATGTGCCTATTAACTCCCATCTCCCAACAGGAGGCTGAGTGAGACAGGAGGATTGACATAACTATGGGGCTAGATTGGGCTACAGAGTTGGCCTGGGATACGGAGTAAGAAATTGTCTCAAAAGTTGAAGGTGGTGGTGTCTGTGTGTGCACTGAGGAGATGGCGCACCAGGCAAGAGGCTTGCTGCTTTTGCAGGCCACCCAAGTTCAGTGCCCAGCACCCACAACCAGCTCCAGGTAACTTCCACCTTTTTCTGGTCTCCACAGGCACCCACATACGATGAACATTCACACTGACATGCATACACATACATTAATAAAAATAAATCTTTTTTTTTTTTTTTTTTGGTTTTTCGAGACAGGGTTTCTCTGTGGCTTTGGAGCCTTCCTGGAACTAGCTCTTGTAGACCAGGCTGGCCTCGAACTCACAGAGATTCACCTACCTCTGCCTCCCGAGTGCTGGGATTAAAGGCGTGCGCCACTACTGCCCGGCTAATAAAAATAAATATTAAAAATCCCGGAAGGGGTCGATGGTGAGGTGGCTCAGAGGGTAAAGGTATTTGCTGCCAAGCCTGATCACCTGCGTTCAGTGTGTGGGACCTGCCTGGTGAAAGGAGAGAATCAAATCCTGAAGGTTGTCCTCTGCTATCCACACATTCATCATGATGACACAAACAAACAAAGTAATAAACACACTAAACTAATATGAAAACAGTGGGAGTGCTTACGAGTTGAAATGTCTGGCTCTGAAAGTCTGATAATCTAAGTTTGATCCTTGGAGCTCACATAAAGGTAAATACAAAACCAGCCCACGAAAAGAAAAGTTGCCCCTGACCTCCACAAGGGTGGAAGGCACTTGCCCCTTCCTCCACCCATAGTAATAAACTTTAAAAATCAATTAACAAAAACAGCCCCCAAAGCAGGGTGATGTCTCAGCAGATAAAGGCACTTGCTGCTATCAAGGATTCTCCTCTGACTTTCAGGCCAGGAAGGTGATACAGTCGACTTCTCCACACTAAATATCTTAACGTCCTCTCCAGCACAAAAAAGCATCAGAGGTGGGGGGTATAGTTTGGTAAAACTTGTGGTAAGTACAAGGTCCTGGGTTTCATGCTCAATATACAAGCAAGAATACGTATTTTAACTTTTGTAGGATCTGTTTTCTGTCATTTGGCCTCTAGTTTTCTTTTTGGACAGTTTCTCTCCTGAAAGTTAGTTGTTTTTTTTTTTTTTTTTCTGGAGTCAGTCTGGTATGTTGTTTTATGAACTTTTCTTTTCATCATTATCGTTCACTTATAACCTGAGCCCATGCTGAACAGCCCTGTAATTTCTCCAGTGTTTGAGGCAGCGGCTGCTGACCATGCCGCCTGGGCACCCTCCGTGCAGAGATTACCAGCGCGTGTCCTCACGCCCGCCTAGGAGGCTCTGGAGGCTTTAAAAATAATCTTCAGCTTTGCCCGTATCGTGACATCTCACGAAAAGTCCTCCCAAATTATTACACATCAAGAAAATCTGCCCCTGCACTCCAGGAAGTGCTGACAATCTGAAACTTGAAACGCCAACGCTGGGGGCTTTGAGAAACTTCAGACAAATCCCTCCAGACTGTCCCTCTGAGACGCCCTTAGGCGGTCTTTCTCTTTACGTAAGGCACGACGCTAGTTTTCCGCTCGCACGCGGTTATTGAAGCCTTTGGGCTCACGTTTCAGGGTGCGGAGACGCGCGTGTACTACTCAGCGTCCTCCCAGAGCCCTCAGCTCGTGAGGTTCTCCAAGGTCCCCCCTCCAGCTTCTCCCCCCCCCCCCACTCCCCCGCCTTCATCCACCCCTCCCCCCTTTTCTCTTCTTCCCCCCCCCCCCTCCCCCGCTGGGCTCCCCGAACGTGTGCGCCTGCGCTGTCGCCGTCCTTTCCTGGATTCAGAGGTGGGCCCACACCCTCGACCCCGCCCCTCGCCGGGCTGGCCAATCCCGGGCTCGGATCTGGGTTCGTCAGAATGGCGCCGTGGCGGGCCGGTGCCCGGATGTCCGCTGCTTGAGGCTCCGCCCCGCCGCGGTCTTGCATCCTTCCGGCTTCGTCGTGGAAGGAGGACTGCGCCTCGTCTTCCTGAAGGTGGGGTTCAGGGGAAGGCCAGCCCGCGGTCACGCCGGCTGTGGGAAGGGAAAGTGGGCTCCCCTGGCTACTGTTTCCGGGTGCTCGGGGCGTGGGTCGAGCGGGGAGCGGACCGGGGATCAGGAGGGCTTCCGGGGGCGCCGCAGGCGTCGGCAGGCGGGAGTTGAGAAGCAGGCCGGCCGCGCGGCGGACTCGCTCCGTGGAGGCCTCGCCGCGAGCCCGCGTCTGGGGGTTTCCATGGTGATAGTAAACAAGCCTCAACTGCCTCAGCTACAACTGCCAAGTCCCCGGGGTTCCACCCTCCTCTAGGTGCTCTGAGGGCCGGCGAGGTTCCGGATGTGAGTGGGAGCGTGGAGACGAGGAGCCCGAGGTGAGGGCCGCCAACCGGGTGGGTTGGCGCCCGGGCCCTTGGGGCGGTGTACCGCGGGCGCGGGGCTCGGCTTCAGGAAGGAAAGGTCCGCGGTGGAAGCCGCACGCCCGGGGCCGTGCGAAAACCGCCCCGGGGGCCGGGACCGCGTGGCCGAGGTTTGGGGTCCGGAGCGATGGCCGAAGTTGAGAGTGTGTGGCGGCCCGGCTTGGGGGCATTCCCGACGGGTCCGGCCGCGTGGCTGAGGCTGGCGGCCGGCCGGTGGAGTGGGGGAACGGGATCGGAAGTCTGCAGTCACCCCGGGCGGGCTACGACCGCGGGGATTGGCGCCCCTGACGCTGCCTCCGAGGCGCACGGCAGAGAGGAACAGCGGCTTTCGCCGAGAGCTATGCCCGCAGGCGCTGCTCGGACGCGGGCGGCCGTGGGGCAGGGCGGAGCGTTTCTCTCCCGGGGCGGGACGCGCTTGGCGGTCCCCGGGCTTGCCGGGACGCTGGTCGCGGTCTTGAGAAAGGAAAGAGCCGGCTCACGTGGCTGGAGGCGCCCGTAGTTTCACAAGACTCGGAGGAGGGACGACTCCGCCCACGCCCGGCCCGGCAGCGCCGCCGGCCCCTTCCTTCTCGTGGCGGCCAGGCTGTCGATCCGGGCTCTCGGAGGTGGCGTGTCGGCGTCTGGGGGTGGTGGCGGTGCTGGAATCTTTTCCTAGGGAGGTTAGTCGGCCGTCGCCTCCAGTTCTCTGTACTTTTGGATGTGTTTGTGGAGCTTTACGGTTCTGTTGAAACTTGCGGTGGGCCTGGCCTGCCTGGCCCTCCCTGCCGCGCGCTCTCCGGAGCGTTCCCGAGATGGCCGGACGCTGGTCTCAGCCGTCCCGCACGTACCCGCGAGGTAGCCCCACGTGCCCGAAAACACCAGTCGGGGCACCCTCGGCGACCTTTCCTGACCCTGCCAGCCGGGGCACGGACGAATGGGCCTCATTTATTATTTTTTACCTGCTACAACTACTTGCGAGCCGTCGCCTGCGATGGGGACTGCGGAGTGGTTGGCGACCTCGCTGCGCCGGAAGCCGCCTGGCGGCTCTGCGGAGTCAGCTCCGTAGCTCGGGCGGCGTGGCTTTGAATGCTCGGACCTCATAGAACAGAGAGAGCTTTTTCGGTCTATTTGCGTATGTATGTGAGCGAGGGTGTTAGAGGTAAGAGGGCACTTTGAGAGACGGTTTTCCAGAGTATGGGTCCCAGGGATCGAACTGAGGTCCTCATTTTTGGCAGCTCGAAGCCATATCAAGGTGGTGTTTGATTTTATTTAGGTAAATAGCTCGAATCCCTTTCAAGTGTGGTGGGTTTTTTTTTTTTTTGGTGGTTGTTTGCTTGTTTTTCATTTTGGTTTTTCGAAACGTTTTATCTTAGTACTGGCTGTCCGAGAACTCACAGCAGTTCAGGCTGGGCCCGAACTCAGAAAGCCGGTCTGCTGAGTGTTGGGTTTAAAGGCGTGCGTTACCGTGCCCGGCGATACCGGAGAGTTTTAAAATAAAAGTTAGATATCTTAGAATTGTTACTACTTTAGTGAAGTCTTTTATAAGAAAGTTTCTTTTGTGTGTGCTGCCAAGTAGAGGTCAGGGAAAAAGAGGGGCCAGTCAGTTCCATGTTGTGTGTTTAGAGATTATGGACTCAGGTCCATCCTTTCTGAGAACAAACGTCTTTAAACCACTGAACAATCTTGAAGTACCTTTTAATAGTTGTTTTAAGAGTTCTTACTAAAATATCTCAGATTATTCGGTAGATATAAATAGGTCAGTGAAGTAACGTGTTTAGTGCTAATTTTTTACATTTTTTTCATTTTAAAGTAGAAACTTTGTTTCTAGTGAACGTTGAGAGATTTGTAGTTTATTATTTTGTATACCTAGAGTTTTTTCTTAATAGATGATATCGTTGTTCCTGGTTGTCTTGGAACTATGCAGAACAGGCTAGCCTTGAATTCAGAGATTGCCTTCTAGTTTAGATTCCCCCCCCACCGTTTTCCTATAACAGCCTGGCTGTACTAACTCACTTTGTAGACCAGGATGTAGAACTCTCAGAGATCTGTCTGCCTCTGCCTACCACGTGCTGGAATTAAAGGTTGTTCCAGCATGGCCGACTCTTGACTACTTTTTAACAATATTCTTGCTCTGCCTGGCTTGAACTTTTGATCTTCCTGCCTTTTTTCTGTTTCCCCAAAGCTGTGATCATAGGCAAACACCACCGTCTCTGAAGAACTAAAAAGTATTTTTCCTTTTTTTTCCTTTTTTGCTTTTAAACCTTTTTTGAGTGTTGGGTGGGATGTTGGGCCTGGGAAGCATTTTGTAGTCACTGAAGATGACCTTGATTTCCTGATCACCCCGCGCTTTAGATTGATTGCTTTACAGGAACACCACACCCAATAATAGGTACTGGGCATGGTAGGTAAGCACCCCATGCCCACTGAATCACAGCCCCTGTCCTATTGTGTTTTTTGTAGTTAACTAACTTCTGTTTTTATCTAGATTCTTTCATTATATGTGTATGTATCTTTGGGGGGCAAAGTTCAAGACACATAGGAAAAGCTTGGGTGCCTTGACTCTAAAATAAAGTAATAGAAAAATGTTTTTGAGATAGGGTCTCACTATTTAGTTTGTCTGGCATGGAGCTCACTGTATAAATGAGGCTAGCCTCCAACAAATCTATCTGCTTCTGCCTCCAGAGTGCTGTGGATTGCTGGGGTGAAAGGTGGTGGTAACAAGATTTCAGTAAAACTTTTGACTAAGTTTGGGTGCTGATGGTGCACTCCTCACTTGGGAGAAAGAGGCAAACTAATCTCGAAGAGTTCTGAGGATAGCCTGGTTTACACAGAAAAACAAATTAAAAAGCAAACACCATTGATTAAAATAGAAATGGTTTAAAAGAAAGTCCTAGGTAAGTAGACTTCTGCTATGTTGCTAAAGCTACTGATACTAAAGACTGAAAAGAGTTCAGTGACATTTTGCCACACTAATGCAGGCACAGCATGAAATGCTTAAAAAGGTCTTTCTGATTGTGAATTTGTCAGAGCTGTGAAGTTTCTCTGCATAGCTTTAGAGTCTGCAGTCCAGGCTGGGCTCGAACTCAGAAATCCGCCTGCCTAGCCTCTTCCATTATCTCCCTGCTGAGCCTGGCCTGGAACACAGATTCACCTGCCTCCCCCTCCCTAGTACTGGGATTAAAGGCGTGTGCCACGACTGCCTGGTTAATGATAATCTTGTTTTTTTTTTTTTTTTTTTTTTGGTTTTTCGAGACAGGGTTTCTCTGGTTTTGGAGCCTGTCCTGGAACTAGCTCCTGTAGACCAGGCTGGCCTTGAACTCAGAGATCCGCCTGCCTCTGCCTCCCAAGTGCTGGGATTAAAGGCGTGCGCCACCATCGCCCGGCGATAATCTTGTTCTTAAGACTGTAAGAAATCACTCACTAGAGACACAATTGGTATTGGGACTTAGGTCTGACAGGAACTGCCTTTTATTACTAAGGGTTCCTGTCTCCACCATTTGTATTAATGGAGGGTTCTTCGCAGAGGAAGAATTAAACTCAGTTTAAGACCACCATACTTTATTTTGCCTCAAAATTAACAAAGATTTGTTGCTGGAGATTATAACTGGGGCCTTTTATTGTAACGAACAGAATTAATTTTCCATAAAAAATTAACTCACTTGGGTGAGTGGGTGTGGGCAGATGCTACCAGGAACATGCCAAGGTCAGAGGACGACGGCTTTGATTTCCTTAGCTGCTGGTGGATTCTGGGATGAATGGAACTGAAGTCATCAGGCTTTTAGCAGATGCTTTTATCCTCCTTTTCACTTGGAAATTTTGTTTGTTTTTGAGACTTGGACTACATTGAAGCCAGGACTGTTCTGTAGTTGACTCTGTAGACCAGACTGGCCTCAAACATCATCCTGCTTCTGCCTCTTGAATGCTGGGATTAAAGGCGTGTGTCATCATGCCCTGTACTGTTATTTTGTGTTTTAGTGAATAAAGCTGGCTTGGATTTCAGAGAGTAAAACAGCTGCACTGAGGTGCCTTACAGACTAGGCAGGGCTAACATACCTTTAATCCCAGTAACCACAGTAGTTTGCCATAGAAACCAGAAGGTAGTGGTGCACGCCTTTAATCCCAGCCCTCAACAGGAATATAAAACGGGAGGAGAAAGCTCTTTTACACAGTCACAGTCTGAGATCCCTGGAGGTAGGATCATCATTTCAGACAGAGGTAGAGGTAAGAGCCAGTAGCTTGGTTGTTTTGCTTTTCTGACCTTCAGGTTGAACCCCAATTTCTGTCTCTGCATTTTTATATTAGTCGTGCTACAATGCCAAGACTCCTTTTCAATTTTTACAAGAGCAATATTGCCCTATATCCCAGGCTGACTTCAAACTGAGGACTCCTGCTTCAGATTCTCAATGCTGAGATTGTGAGCAGGCTACCACATACAGCTTCAAATACTGTCCAGCAGACAAGTTTGAGTCAAGCCGAACAAGACACTATCTCATTTGGTAAGTAGACAGTGTCTTAGCAATCTCACAAATTACTTTTCACTCCAAATCTGGCACCGATAGAAGTTCATTGCAAGCCAGAGTGATTTTTCTTTTTTAATCTCAGCTCTTTGTTTTTCCTATAAATTGGTAGTTACCTTTGCATGTTACTATTTATTGGGACTGTGGTCCAAACAGAGGCACTCTCTAATGGTTAGTGTTCTATGTTCTGTAAAGCTGTGTTTCATGGGGTGAGTGTGCCTCCATGCTAGGGAGTGAGGGTTGAGAGATACATGACTGGGTAGCCCAGTAAATCCTACCTGTCAGGTGCTGGCATCAAAATATAGTAAGATTATTACAGCCTTTTTGACAGAGTTTGTCTATATAGCCCTAGCTGTTTTGAAACTAGCTCCTGTAGACCAGGCTGGACTTGAACTCACAGTGCTGGTTTTAAAGGCATGTGCCACCATCACCTGGCTTTCATTAGTCTTGGTGTTAATGTTTAGATTCTTAAATTAGTGGGAGCCCTGTAGACTTGTGTCTAGTTATTTCTTGACATACCATCAGTTTAAGACATACATTTTAAATTGTTAGCATGTGTTTGCATATTCATGGTTTCATTATGTTTTGTTTTTTGTGGGGTGGGTTGCAAGACAGGGTTTCACTGTAGTTTTAGAGCCTGCCCTTGAACTCGCTCTTGTAGACCAGGCTGGCCTCGAACTCAAAAAAATCCTTCCTGCCTCTGCCTTCAAAGTGCTGGGATTAAAGGTGTTGTGCCACCACCAACCGGCATCTCATTATGTTTTCAAATGTGTTTATTTTTCATACTCTTTAGATTCTTCTACTTGCACCTTTTCCCTCCTATTCCTTCTTTTTCTTTCTTTTTTTTTTTTTTGTTGTTTTTCGAGACAGGATTTCTCTGGCTTTGGAGCCTGTCCTGGAACTAGCTCTGTAGACCAGGCTGGTCTCGAACTCACAGAGATCCGCCTGCCTCTGCTTCCCGAGTGCTGGGATTAAAGGCATGTGCCACCATCGCCCGGCCCCTCCTATTCCTTCTTGTGTTGCATGTGTACCTGTATATTTGTGATGTTTCAATGAGTTATTAGGTTGTTCATACTGTTCTGAGTGCGGGAACAGCATAGCATTATAAATAAAACATTTTAAGAATTGGGTCTTAGTTTGTACTTTGTCTCTAGTTGTAATGGTTCCTGTCTATCTGTATCTGTCTATTTTCTTGTCTTTCGTTCTTTCTTTCTTGATTTTTCAAGACAGGGTTTCTCTGTGTAGCTTTGGAGCCTGTCCTGGAACTCTCTATCCAGATCTTGAACTCACAGAGATCACATGCCTCTGTTTCCAGAGTGCTGGGATTAAAGGTGTATGCCGCCACCACCTGGTTAGTTGGCTTTGAACTCGGGTTTTTTTTCCCATTTTGGAGTCTGCCTTCCTAACTGAAATTAGTTTGTAAAACTAAATTTTGAAAATGGAAAGGTAGTTTGGGCTGATTAAATGTACTTTAATTATAGAGTATATAGCCTTGGGCTAGAAGGTTGTTTTGATTTGTTTGCTTTTGGTTTTTCAAGACAGGGTTTCTCTATGTGACCCTGGCTGTCCTGGAACTTGCTCTGT